TTCCTGTTCTCTGTGATTGCCTGTGACTGTTCCATCTGCTCTGACAAGCTGTGGCACCTTGCCAAACGCCGTGTCGTCGTCAGACTTCAAGTATCTGGCAGCCTTCCAAATATTGTTGTTGTCTGCTAGGAACTCGTCCCAGTGCTTCTTCTTCTGTTGTCGAATAGCATCGTGGTATTGCTTTCCAGCCCGTTTCGCTGTTTCTTCTAGGTCTACCAGAGCTCTCCCCGCTCGTCGTTCAACCCGGGCGCGGTTCCTCCAGTATGTGTAAATGCAACGCAATTGGGTGAGGTCGGTCGTCCACCACCGCTTCGCATATGGCGATGGTCTTGCTTTCGGTGTCAGGGCTTGACTGCGTCCTGACTGCCGACATTAGACGGTCCGTTTGCTGTTGTACAGTCCCCCTGAAGGGGGTCGCTTTTAATGCTCCCTCGATTCTGGTGTTTATTTCCTTCCAGGGTGCATTCTTGAGGAGAAACCGGTCTTGTTGCTTCGGTACTGGGACCAAGGTATCAAAGACCGTCTCAATCGCGTGGTGATCCGATCCATGTTCTGTCTTGTAGATCGCACACTTCACTGTCGTGTCCGCCAGCTCGGCAGAAGCCAGGACCAAATCGATGGTCGTATTGTAACCCCAGCCGTGCCATGTCTTCGTGCCCCGCGGAAGCAGACTGCTAAGGGCAAAGTCGTTCATCAGGTCGATGATTCGATCCGCCTCTCCTTGCCTTTCCAAAGACGCATCGTCTCCTCCCCATAGCTGGTCGTGCCGGTTGAAGTCTCCCACGACCACTACGTCTACTATAGTGCCCGCGGTTCGTCTTGTACCCGTAATGATCTTACGTAAATCGTCGCAGACGCTTCGTAGAGCCAGAGGATCCTTCTTTGGTACGTAGACAGATATCACCAAGACTCGTCGGTCGGGGAGTCTTAGGATAGCTGCTGTCATGTCCGGGGATCCAATGGGCACCTGTTCCGCCTCCACGTCCTTGTTCACCCAAAGCATGCTTCGTATCGCCCATCTGCCTTCTCTCCAAGTCGAGGGAATCATCTTGATCCACTTGTGGTGTACCATTGGAGTGGTCAAAAGTCGGCCATCAATCCTCCGTGCTTGAGGTTCCTGGATAGCCACCACCGTTGCGTCCTGAATATTCTTGTCGTTCATTAAACTGTCGTGTATCACACCCTGCTTTCTCACATTAAGCTGGATCAGGCGGAGTGTTCTACTCATGGTGAGATGGGTAGAGCCTCTGGCAGTTTCGGCTGAGCGATTCGTGAGGACCGCCACAGAGGACGCACTTGACAACCACCTCTCCGCAGCTGCTATGGTGATGGCCCTCCTTAGCGCACCTAGCGCACACCTGAGTGTTCTTGCACTGGAAAGCTTTGTGACCGATCTGCTGGCAGTTGTAGCATTGCTCTGGACGCATCCGTCGTTCAAAGATCCCCGTATATCCTGATTCTCCTCCAGCATAGAAGAAGCCGTCGTTCAGGAGTCTCCTGGCGTCGCCCGCTTTGGTGACATAAACCACCATAGATCCATACGCTTTTGCGGTATCCCTTCGGCTCAACCAGGCCAGCTTGGCGATCTGCACATCGTTCTCTTGGGACAGAGCTTCTGCGGCTCCAGGAAGGATCTTGCTTTCGTGGTCGATGACGGCCGTGCGGTTGACATTATCAACTTTGACCGGGTACAACTGGTCTCGGAGGACTCTTGTACCAGGCGTCTTCTTCGCTTCGATGATATCCTTGATCTTCTTGACTTCCTCTTCATTCCTACCGATGATCCTGAGGCGCTTGGTATTACCTCTGTCTCTAGTGACGGCAACGCAACGCCACTTGGCTTGATCGCCAGGCACTCTCATTTCGTTCTCGATGAGCTTTCGAAGAGACACTGGGGTAGCCTCTCCGATATGTTCCTCCGGTACCCTGGACATGTCCACCGTACAGAACACTGGCTCTGGCGTCGCCGCTCGGCCTGTAGAGGAGGCTGGGGTCAGAATGCTGGCGGGAGGTGTGCGTCGGGCGACGTCCGCGTATGCAGGCCGAACCACAGGGGCTTCTTGAACCTCCTTCATGGCTTGAAGCTGCAATCTGGTGTCCTCAAGCTCACGGCGGGCTTGGGTGAGCTCCCCTCGCGCTTGCGACAGTTCTTCGGTCAACTGAGCCGTCATTCTGGCTATCTCCTCTGCCACTTGATCCCGAAGCTTTTTGAATTGAAGCTGGAACTCCGTCTTGATGATTTCCAGTTTGTTGTTGAAGTCAAGGTCCCCGGGTTGCTCTAGACCTCGGATATCCTCGCCCGCCCTCTCGGCCGCCATGGCTCGAATTGTGCGAGTTTTGTGGTTTCTCAACACTTTGTCACTGCTGTTTTCTTCCTCCCAGTCCATATCGTTTTCTTGTTGCATTGATTCAATCGCCCTCGCCGTTTTCACCCTCTTTCGCTGGGGGCGGCGGTTTCCCGCACTCGGGGGTCTCGAATCGCCTCCCATGACGTCGACAATGTCTGAAGCGCCACGCGCCGCACCAGACATCTGGGAAAGACCAAATCTTCCACCAGGTGCCTCAAAAGAAGAAAAGAAGATTGATATTGCAAAGATCAAGATTAAACAGTCGCGGGTTCCGATCCAAACACTTCGGCACGCTATAGTAAATGGTTGGTGGCTATGCTTTGCCCGACGAAAGGCGCCACAGTGCAACGTGGCTTTCAAAGCATTATTCAACCATTACTGATCATAAACCCTGATTTTATCTGTAGGCCGCGATGGGCGATGTTGAATCATCAAGCTCGGGTAGTCGGATTCTAAATCGAGCCGCAGTGGAACGCAACGCGCGCACAAATTGACCACACCACTGTTGCACCCTCTCTGCGAAGCAATCCAGCTCAAGCCCGAGCGAGTCGGGTCTTGCCTGCACGACAGGGCTTCCGGCTTTGTCAGGACGCTTCGTTGTGGGATTTCGCTGAATTTTCGGCCTCCCTTTGGAATTATATGGTTCCCAACGACCGAAGAAACCCCGGTTCGATTCCGGGGTCGCCCATCTTTTTTGCTTTCCCCTCCTTTTTTTTTTTTTGGCTCTATTCTACCCTTCTACCCCTCAAACTGGTCCTGTAAAAGCTTCGCAATGCTAGAGGCCTCCCCGATGTGCTGTCCTGAGCCCGAGCAACCCAGGGGCTGAGTTCCGGGCGTCTCCTGAGGCCCTGCTTGCTTGACGAGGACGAGGACCATTTCACCACATCTCTGGCCCAGTGAACTCCAAAAGCAGTCCATGATGCAGCATGCGGCATGCTGTCCGCGACAGTCGGTTCAAGGAGTCCCTTCTCGCTCAACATCACGATCACAATGATCCGGCGAACAGAAAAAAGCCACAGTCAAGTCAATGGATGTGGTGAGCTTGTCTTTGCTTAATCCTAACTTCATTTTATGGGAGAGAGATGTGGCACGTCTTGCCACTGCCCCTCTGTTCAGCAACAACGACTCTTCTCCGTCTCCCTCTAGTATTAAGACTGCCTCATAACAGCAATGCCTTGATGCTGGTTTTCTCTCTGCGAAAGTAGTGGCCGAGCCTGCCCGGCCTCTCCTCCTGTTCTCTTCTGCGGAGCAGCAGCAACCCCGCGCTGGCCGATGCCTTGCCTCTTCTTGGTAACCTGCTTTTCCCCCTCTCAAGCAGCCCCTTACTCAAACTTCATTAGCGTCTCACAAAACTGCAGCTCCCCAAACGCCTCCTTCTGCTCCGGCGCCTCCATCAACTTCTTTAAATATGCCTCTACAGTCGGCACCGCCTTCCTCATTTCCGCATCCATCAGAAACTTGCTCGCCAGCTGCAGCACACTCAAAACCATCTCGTCCGCTAGCGTGAACTTCTCCCCCCACAAGGTACAACCTCCCGTCCTGCAACGCAACCTCGAGCCTCTTCACCGCCCTCTCAAACGCGGCTACGCACTGGTTGTACCGCGCCTCGTCGTACGGATACATCTTGGCCACCACCATCAGCAGCGGCGGGATGACGTTGCTGCCCAGCTCCTGCTCGGCGAAGCACGACCACATTTCGACGAGCGCGCGTTCCTCGACGGTCTCGCCCAGCAGCTGCGCCGCACAGGGCCCGCTCTCGGCCACGTACCGCGCGATGGCCTGCCCCTCGGTCAGGCACAGGCTGCCGTCGGCCGACTCGAAGGCGGGGACTTTGCCGAGCGGGAACTTGGCGAGGAACTCGGGGGTGCGGTTGGTGACGCCCATCTGGAAGTCGGGGTCGACTTCGACTGTGAGAGTGTTGATCGCTGCGAGGGCGAGGACCTAGAGTGGGGTTAGATAAGGAGAAGAGAATGGAGGGTTTGGAGGTGGGCGTACCCGCTGGACGCGGTAGTTGTTGGGGTAGGTGTAAATCTTTCCGAGAGGAGCCATGGTGGATGTTTGTTTGTGGTTGTAAGTTGCGGAAAGCTGTCTTGGGTGACTTGGAGGGAGGGGAGTGAGGTCGGGTTGAAAGACGAAGAGAAGATGACAACATCGATATCTTCAATCACAACATTGGTAGCAGACTCAAAGGTCCTTAATTAACCGCCAACCTCCATCGCACCCAGCAACTGTTTACCCCTCATTCGTCCGGACTCCCTTCCGCTCCTGCGCCCCCCCTCGAGCGTCAAACCCCTCCATCTCACTCGCGCTGAGGACCCCGAGTCCCTGCCCAGAAGCGCGTCACACCTGCGTCGTCCCAGGTCCGTCACTAACTCACGGACAACAGAACCTCCCGTCCAATGACTCCGTCCCGCGGACATTTTCGATGGCGCAGCTGCCGAGCAAGTGGATAATCCCGGACAAAGTCGCTGCCGACAACCGAGACCGCACCGCGTCTGACAAATCCAGCCCCAGCCTGCCCAAGATCCCAGCCCCTGATCCCAGCCGCGGGAGGAGCCGCACAACGCCCGAGAAAAAAAAAAAGAAAAGTAAAAAAATTGGGGGAATAATGTAACAAAAAACGATTGGCAACAGAATGTTATCCTGATGTCTTGGACGAGCTGGGAATCGAACCCAGGACCTTTCGCATACACCAAAGTATGCTAAGCGAACGCTCTACCAACTGAGCCACACGCCCGTATTGTTGAAAATCTTCGGGCCGCAACACACTTCTTGGACGCCGGCGACGTCCTGCCCGGCGGACAGCCATGTTGATGATATGAACAGATCAGAACCATATTTACACCCGCCCCCTCGCCGTGAACTTTGAACCTGGGATATCTTCAACGCCAGCCTTCCTTTCCCTTCCTCGGTTGCCTCCCTTCTCTCCTCCCCCCGTTCCTTTTTCTTCCACCTTGTTCTTTCCTCCTCCTTTCATCTCACCATTCACACTCCCCCTTCCTAGCCTCTCTTCTCCCTCCCTTACACCCCTCCTCCCCTCCCCACAAATCCACACCCCCTAACCCAATCTCTCAGTAACCTCGCATGCGTAACCTTCGCTCCAACAGAGTGTCTCGCCCCAACAGCCGCCACCGCCGTTGCCGCCGCAGCAGCCACCATGCCATTCAGCAACACCTCACTGCTGCTTTCGCCGTCCGGCAAGAGTGTGTGAGATGGAACACGTGCCCGCAGACAAAACCCACGAGGGTTTGGGTTTCGTATTCTGTGAGGGGAGGTGGCAGTGGGCGCAGTAACCCGAGGTGGGGGTGTACTTTCTGGCTTTGCGGTTGGGAGGCCGTTGGGGATGAGGGATGGTGCCGTTCGGGGCAGCTGGGGTTGTTTCGGGGCGGGTGATAGTGGGGGTGGGCGTCGGTTTGTGAAGGTGGTGATTTCTCGGTCACCTCGAACTTGACACCCTTTCGTTGCCCCACCCTCAACAGGCCCTGCGCCTGAGCCACCTCGCTGCGCAGCACCCTTGCAACACCCTCGCAGATACTATACTGAATCTCGTGCTCCTTCATGATATGCTTCAGGCCCTCGCGCAGACCCTCGATCTCCAGCCCCTCAGGGATGCGGCGCACCAGAGTAATGGGGTTGATAGCAGTACCGACCTCCTCCAGCAGTGCGCGGATGAACCGCGGCTTGTCCATGCTGTACGTGAGCAGGTCCTCCCACAGGTCTGGGTCGTCCTGCTCCTTGGCGAAGGCGATAGCGTGTGAGACGTCGCCGAGCCGGTCAATGATGAGGTACAGCGCACGCTTGGTCTGGCCGGTTTTGGAGTAGAGGTAGACGAGTTCGGGGATGTAGTTGAGGGTTTCGCATTCTTGCGCGGCCTAGGGGGTGTTAGTGCGGGCTTTGAGGGGGAAGGGAAGGGGCCTGACCTTCTCGAATGCGTACGCCGTGGAATTTTTGAGGAGGTCCATTAACAGGGACTGGTCGTGGTGGGCAAACAAGTGGACGGCGAGATCTGCGAACTGGTCGACGAGGGACTGGCTGTCCGTTACCAGACGAGCGCGCGACTCGCCTGAGTGTTCGTGCATGCCCTCGCCGCGCCACAAGCCGCGAAGGTAGAAGAAGGTATAGAGATCCAGTTTCTTCTCCTGCAGCTGCGTGATGACGACCTCTGGCTTCACCAAGCCATGCTGGGCCTCGTCCACCAGCAACGTGATGGCCTCTTCGGTGGCCTCCTCAAGCTCCTCACGGCCCATTTTCCTCCCTTGGGGCACGCGTAGCCCAATAAAGCTCGGAATATCATCCGCCACGGCATCAGCGAGATGGCCCTCTTTGATCAGCCGCATCGCCGAGTCAGCGTCTTGCAGTTTAATGTGGCATCTGAGAGCCTCCCTATTCCTGCCACTGGCCTCGTGGAGCTTGGCCAGGCTCTCCATGACGATCCGCCAGTCCCGGCCAACCTCGCCGTCCTCGACGCTATCCTCTCGCACATCGCGGAATTTGAGCTGGTCCTCCAAGGCGGACGTGATAGTGTTCACATCAAAAAGCTCTGGCGGCCACCTCTCCAGCAGCTGTCGAAACCGGGGTTTGTTGGCTTGGAGGTAGTGCCCAAGCATGACCTCGTACGGGGTCCCAGGCATGGGCGGCCGTGTACGCTCTGTCGGGATGTAGTTGACGATCTCGTCAAACTTCTTTGCCCCAGCAAACGTCCACACCCACTTCTCCCACCGGTCTGGCGTGCCGAGGACCTTTCCGCAAATCTGCCCAGCCCGAGTCCAGTCATTGGCCTCAATAAGATCCTGAATCCAGAGCTCACCGATCCTCCGTTTCTCTTTCTCGGCAGACGAGTAGAAGGATCTCATGCCTTCCGCAACGGATGCCGTCTCATCGAAGAAGTCGTCGGTGCCCTGCGTGTGTTGTGGTGAGGTGGGGACGACCTCAGCACCCAAAGTCATGATCTCGGGATGTCGGTCAACTAGCTCCCATGCCTGCTGGTACTGGTGGCGCTCGAGGAGCCATGTTAGATGATCACCCAGATCCCGCTTCGTCGCTAGTACGCAGTCGTACGGGCTGTGGATGAAGATCTTGATTCCCGGCTTGACTAGGTGTGGGTGGACCGAGATGCGCCGCGCAAGATGGCCCCCCGGGGCGGGAATGTTGGATCCAGAGGCACCGTCGCTGCCTTTGCTCATGACGCTCGCCGCGGAGCTGAACAACGACATAGGGTTCAGGGCTGCGTTGAGGACATCGGTACCGAGGCCTGCAAGTGTCTCGAGGGCGCCGCGAGAGGACACCGCAGCGGCAGCATTTTGCGCGGGCAGGATGCCGAGGTGGTAGTCATTCGAGGACAGCCTCTCAAATCGGCTGATGCTGAGACTGTCTTTGTCAATCTCTGCCTGCGACGAGAGATCGATGAGCCGCAGCTCGGGCGGCTGCCTGTTCTGTTTTCGTTGAAGGCCGCCGGAAGGCCTGCTCGCGGTGGATGCTTCCGAAAATGTACGCCTATGGCCTTCAGATGGGCTGCTCTCCTCGTCCTCTTCTTCCGGTAAGCAGTAAGCAAGAACCAACAACAAGTTCTGGGTATATAACGAAATGCCGGAAATGATGCAATCCATGCGAAGTCTGCGAGGTCAGCCAAGGTCGCAATACCGGGGGACGAAACCACCCACATCTTTACAATCTCTGCCCGGCCAGCGGACCTCTCCCCTGCATTCTGTCCAGCGCCAACGGCGCCAGGATGGACGTGAATAATCCAGAGAGTGCCACCCCATCCCACAAGCAGACGCTCGAACTTCTTGCTGCTCTTCAACTGCTGCTGCCTCAGACTTTCCAGCGCAGGCGAGAGCAGCGGCTCCCGGTGGTCTGGACTGACCTCATCCGCCGGCTCGATTGCCTGCTCGTCTATCCACTCAGCCCTGCCCTTCCATACGCTCGCCATGGTCTCCCACTCCTCCGTCTGTGGCCGGTCGACATGGCCGATCCGTTTCCAGGCATCTTCAGCATCTGCGTGGTCGAGGTGGAGTTTCGTGCGCATGATCTTGATTCCGTGCTCGTTTATCCATGCAACGTATTTCCCGGACAAGGACCACTTGATAGTGCTGATAGTGCCCTCGCCGGAGTGCAAGACCGTGTCCTTGCCGCTCCCCGCGCCGACCATGTTTCCTAGCCAGCCTGCAGCCTGGGCGGCAGCGCCGGTGGTCGTAGCCGTGCTTCGACCGTTGGGCGCGCCAGCGGTAAGAATGAGTTGCCCAGCAAGTCCACCTGACAAGTACGTCCTATCGCTTTTGTATTCGGGGGAAAGAGCGACAGCTTGGACGGGACGCGCAAAGTTCCGCAGCTGGACATCCTTGACATCGACCAGTGACTGGACGCAGATGTTGCCATCCATCGAGGAGGTTGCGACGTAGATATTGTTCGATGGTGTGTTCGGCACGGTCTGTTGTTCGCGTAGCCTCCTTGAAGCTGCGGCAGGAGAGGCCTGGCTCTCGGCGGTCGATGTGCCAGGGCGGGCGGGACTGTTCGATACGGGCTGCCCGATCGCCTCCAGCCTCACACCGGGGAGCGGAGGGGGGAATGGTGAAATGGATACCGAGGTGACGGATGCAGAGTGAGCATGGTAGACGCGCAGAGTTTGGAATGTTGGTAGTTGGATGACGTGCTGCAGGAGATCGTGGTCAGCGGTTTCGGCGACGAGTATGTGGCATGTGGCCCGAGGGCGGAGCGCGACTGACGATGTTGCCATTGTGAGTTCCAACGATCATTTTATCCCCAGCAACCAAAAAAGCGCTTGTCGCGTCGCCGTTGCGATAGACAGGCCCGAGGTGTTGGGTCAGCCGGGCGTACTTGAGCTCCGGCTCTTCATCTTCCTCTTCCTCATCGTCGTCCTCTTCCTCCTCCTCATCCTCCTCTTCGCCGTCATCACTACCATCTTCCTCCCCACTGTACTCTTCTACTGTTGACTTTGCGACATGGCTAGGTTCTGTGCCCTCGATGGCGGACGGCCGAGCTGTTGGGGTGGTGTCTTGATCACGCGCGGGTTCCATCCTCGTCTCCGACTCTGTCGTCGCATCGTGTGTTTCGTTGTCGCCGGGCTGTGGCGGGCTTTCGGTCATGTTGATTCGGACAATAATGGCAGCTTCATGGCGTTTCGACGTCGGGGGTTGAGTGTTGCTGGGGAACGGGAGCGGGAGAGGATGAGGTTGGATGTTGGCTGGTGCTGTTTCGGCTGAAGCTGGAGGGAAGCGAGATGGATGGAGCTTGGGCGCAAGGCCCTGAGCTACGTCAGAGCTCAGTTGACCTTCAGGCGTGAAGGCGCTGAGCGGCTGCAGGGGCTGAGACAGCTCTAGCCAATGGGAACGTGCCCCGCCGTTGCTCAGGGCTGGGTGGAGCCTCAGCCTTCCAGTCGCGACGCGCTTTCTAAGGCAGGTATGCTCAACTCCAGGTGCATCCTCCTGAAGGTATCCCCAACTAGGCACCCCATTGAAACCCAGCCAAATTCGACCACTTGGGGCAGTCGCAACAACGAAAACTTAGGGCAGTGCCTGGCTTCCCACACCATTGAGCGCAATGGCCTTGCTCGATTCTCGATTCCATCTCAACTTCCCTCTCCCGATTTTTGGAGTAGCCCACCGACAACACCATCGACTCCAACACCACCCACCATGGCTTCGGTGACTTCTCTTGGGGTTCACCAGCCCGTCGGACTGCAGCATGCTATTGACGAAGGTTTTCTCTCTCCCGATCCGT